CCTATGCATCGCGACAGCTGAAGCCGCATGAGACGAGATACCCTACGCACGATTTGGAGTTGGGAGCAGTAGTATGTTGTACCATTTATGCGGATCATAAGAGCTTGAGACATATCATGGATAGGGGTGTTCGTTTGGATGGATCGGTTTGATCCGATCCAATTAAGTGAATCGAAATTGATTTCGGTTTTCAAAACATGGATCCGAATAGTCCAAACTAAATTCAAATCTGATCCGATCCGATCCGATTACAATTCGGTTGGATCGGTTTTTATAATTAGGTTTTCAAAAACCAAAACACTTTAAAACGACATATAATTATAATATTATCCAACTTTACACAATAAACGAAAACAAATTATTTAGTTGTGATTTGAAATTTATAAACAAGTACTAAGAAGATATATTATAGTTAAATATTTTATAGATAGAAAACTTTTAAGAGAAAATGCATATTAATGTTTTTTTATCGGGTGAAACGTTTTGAACCTATTTGAAAAAATAAATTACAAAATTAATAAATAACTATAGATATATATTATAAATAAATAAATAATAAATATTTATTCGGTTTTTTTGGACTATTCGGTTCTTATTTTATAAACCAAAACCAAACCGAAATAATAATTAATAATAATGTTTTGTTGAAAACCAATCCAAAAATCCGAATATCCGAACCAAATAGTCCAATCGAAATTGTCCAATTGGACAATTCAGTTTTATCCAATTAGTGAACAACCCTAATCATGGATCAGCCGAACCTGAACATGAGGCAGCACAGGTGGCTGGATGTAGTCAAGGACTACGATTGCGAGATCCTTTACCACCCCGGTAAAGCGAATGTGGTGGCGGACGCTCTGAGCCGCAAGTCAGCTGGGACTTCCACCCCAGCGATATGTATGAGGATAGCAGTGGATTCCCTGCTTGTAAGTTTGATCAGAGATGCTCAGGTCGAGGGCATGCGGCCAGAGAATTGGAAATTGGAAAGGATCAAGGGCGAACGCGCTCGGTTTATTCAGGATGGCCAGGGGTTATTGACCCGATGTGGTCGAGTTTGGGTTCCGATGACTGGTGGAGTCAGACAGACAGTGATGGAGGAGGCTCATAAGTCTCATTTTTCCATACACCCGGGGGCCACCAAGATGTACCGAGACCTGAGTTTGAGTTACTGGTGGCTATGTATGAAACGAGAAATCGCTTGGTATGTCGAGAGGTGCTTGACCTGTAGGATGGTCAAGGCCGAGCATCAGAGGCCGCATGGTAAGCTGCAGCCTCTAGAGATTCCCATGTGGAAATGGGAACAAATCACGATGGATTTCATTACCAAGTTGTCGAGGATGGAGAAGGGATTTGATTCCATATGGGTCATCGTAGATCGATTGACCAAGAGTGCCCATTTCTTGGCTATTCGGGAGAGTTCGTCGGCCGAGAAGTTGGCCGACATGTATGTTCGCGAGGTCGTGTCTCGCCATGGGGTTCCCGTCTCCATTGTCTCCGACCAAGATGTTAGGTTTACCTCCCGTTTTTGGCAGAAGTTCCATGAGGAACTGGGCACGCGGTTGCACTTGAGCACAACATTCCATGCGCAGACTGACGGTCAGAGCGAGCGGACCATTCAGACCCTCGAGGATATGCTGAGGGTGTGTGTCATTGACTTCGGTGGGAGTTGGGATTCCCACCTACCGCTTGCAGAGTTCGCCTACAACAACAACTACCATTCCAGCATTGGCGCCCTGCCTTTTGAGTTATTGTATGGGCGAAGATGTCGCACCCCGGTTTGTTGGGATGAGGTTGGACAACGAGTGATGGGACGGACGGAGGTAGTTCTGCAGACTTCCGAAAAGATTCAGCAGATTAGGCAGCGATTGCAGACCGCTCAGAGTCGGCAGAAGAGCTATGCCGACAGGCGCCGATCTGAGTTAGAGTTCCAGGTGGGTGATATGGCACTTCTGAAGGTCTCACCCTGGAAGGGTGTGATCCGCTTCAGAAAGAGGGGGAAATTGGGTCCCAGTTACATTGGGCCATTCAGGATCATTGCCAGGATTGGCAAGGTGGCCTACAGGCTAGAGCAACCAGAGGAGCTTAGCCGGATTCACAGCACATTCCACGTTTCACAGTTGCGAAAGTGCATTATGGACCAGGAGGCAGTAGTATCGTTGGATGATATTCAGGTCGACGAGCGCCTAAATTACGTGGAGAGGCCTGTGGCCATTTTGGAAAGGAAGAAGAAAATTATGCGGAACAAGGAGATACCTTTGGTGAAGGTGCAGTGGGAACATCGGAGGGGACCCAAGTGGACATGGGAGCCGGAGGCGGAGATGCGAGAGCATTACCCGGCGTTGTTTACCTCAGCAGACTTCGAGGGCGAAGTCTAGTTCAAGTGGGGGAGAATTGTAACGCCCCGATTCTCAGGTATTGATTTATGTATGAATCCTTCTTGGTCTATGGGTCTACTCGACGAGTTGGTCGCCCTACTCGTCGAGTAGTAGCGGTATGGTCCACGCGTTTTAGTGACCTACTCGCCGAGTCCAAGAAGGGACTCGACGAGCAGGAGCTGGCAGATGAAACCCTAAATTTCGGGGCATTTCACCCTATTTAAAGGATCATTGGCCTCCCCCAGCCTCCCCTTTACTGTTTCTTGTCCCTATTTAACCCTAAGTCATGTGTGTGTGTGTTGTTTTGGAGAGTTTGAGCATGGAGGAAGGATTTTGGGTGAAGGAAACACTTGGGGAAACAAGATAGTTGAAGCAAGAGCTCGTGGGATTCAAGATCTGCATCAGTAAGCACTCTTTTGAAGGTACTTGACCGTTCTCCTTGGCTCATTTTCACCTAAACCCTCTTTTGCATGAGTTTTAAGAAAGGTTTCTTGTGCTTAAGCCAAGATCTGAAGTTGTAACTTCAGATCTGGACTCCCCTTGGCTTCTAGATTCATAAAGTCATCAGCTTTGCCTAGTATGAGCCTTCCCTCAAGTGTGTAACTTCATTGCAAGCTTAGTTTTGTCATTTTAGGGTCTTAAAAGCCCTGCATGCACGTAAAGTTTGCAACTTTACGTGATAAGCATGCCTAAGGAAGTTGGATCTGCAATTTGGAGCCTTGGCATGGCTTAAAAAGTGTCTGTATGGTTAAAGGACTGAAGGGACTCGGCGAGCCGCATGGTCGACTCGGCGAGTCATATGAAGATGGGCATGGACCCGACGAGTTGGATGAACAACTCGGCGAGTCCGATGAAGATTGCCGTAGACGCGACGAGTTGGATGAACAACTCGGCGAGTCAGTTAAGGTTTCCCAAATAGTGGATGCGTGTGGACTTGTCGAGTTGCATGAAGGAAAACCCGACGGGTGGCCGTGGAGCTTCAACCACGAACCTTAGGAACTCGACGAGTCATTCTGGTGACTCGGCGAGCGGACAAGTATTGCAAGAAACTCGGCGAGTAGCTGATGGTACTCGACGAGTTGAGGTCAACATGGACTGTTGACCTTGACAGTTGACTTTGACCTTGACCAAGGGTTGACCAGTTGACTTCTGGGGTATTCAGGAATTTATAAACCTTAAGATGTGTTGGGTATAGGTGGTGGGGTTCGTGGCGGTGATTCTGGGCTAACTATCGGTATTTTGGGGGAGCTCACTAAGCTTTCGGGCTTACAGTTTCAATTGATTGTTTCAGGTACATCAGGGGATCGCGGCAAGGGGAAGGCATGATCGTACAGCTCCTCCTGTTTTGTTTATGGTTCTGGGGAAAAACTCTGATATAAACTATTTTGGAAAACGAATTTGTAATCCTTAATGGATCTTTAATGTTTTGAAAAGTTTAAATTTGGTCTCATTTTTATGGGTATTACATAAGTAGAACTCGGGAACAAGGTGTTAGGGAAAGTGGGTTTTGAAGGGAAAGGGGTAGATAAGGTGGGTGGGGTGGGGTGGGGTTTTTTTTTTTTTTTTGTATATTTTTATTAATTGCAAGAAAAATAAAATAAATCAAAAATAAAATAAAAATGGTAAAATAGTCATTTCATGTCTCGTAAGTAGGGCTGTAAACGAACACGAACAGAGGCTTATTCGTGTTCGTTTGTTTAACTTTCACTACAAGAAAAATACCCTTTAATGACGCGCAAACAATGACACTCGCTGATTTACGATACGCATTTTTGTGTTTCCTTAAAATAATGTCAGCCTTCCAAAATTTGAAGGATAGATGACACGCATTTTTGCGTGCCTTAAAATTAATGTCCAACAAAAAAATACAAACACGAAGGGCACTTTTTTTAAATGCGTGTCCTCTAGAAATGTTGCTTTATTTTTTTTATCAAACGCGCGTTTTTAAAGGGCAAAAATGAAATCCTCCAAAATTCTAAAATTTTGAAGTGCTCGCTTCTTCAATCTCTCCTCTGTATCTCTCTTCATTCACTCATTCCTAGGGCTTTTTCAAGAACCATTCTACCTAGAGCTTTTTCATGAAAATTCAAAACGCTCTCCGATTATCGATCGGTTCTCCCAGGCCTCTACAACAATCGACGATCTCACTTCAGGCTTACTTCTTCTCCGGTGAGCATAGGATCACCTCCCCGCGTCCATCCTCCTCGTCATAAAATCATCCAACTAGGGATTTTTTTTCTCGATCTCTTCAGGTCCGTCCTCCCAAAATAAGGAAGAAACTAGTTTGATTTCTCCCCTAAAACCTGGACGACCTTCCATCACTGTCCCAAGATGTCTTCATTGTTCCTCTCTCGGTCTCTTCCATCAGGTAAGTTGTCGGACCATCTCATCTACTCATTTTTTACTATCTTTATTCTCGCTCTCTTTTTTTTCTCGATTTTTCTTCTCCTTTCTCTGTTCTCCCTTTTCTGTTGAATGTTGTTGGCAGTTAGAATCCAGGGGAACAATAGAGGAGAGTCGAATGGTAGTGGTACACCACCACATTTAGGTGTAGGTGTATGTTAGGGAGGGTTACCAACACCAACAACCCTCATCCTATCCCAAAGCCCTCATGAAATCGACTCAATGTACATCACCATGCTCAGAACCACTGAATTCGTGGGTAAAACCACATCATCGAGGTATGTGTTTTACATCTAATTTCACGTGTGATATTTCAACTTTTTTTAGTTATAAAAGATCAAATTTAAAGATTTCTGCTGTTTGGATCTTCTGATTTCTCATTTCTACTGGTAATCTCTTATCCCTTCTTTCATTTTGTGCTGTTCAAATCTTCTAATTTCTCACATTCTACCCCTGTTTAATCTCGTTAGTGTTATCCAATTTCAGCTTTAGTCGGTCTGATCTATTTGTTTTGCATTTAATTAATGGATGTGGTTTACTTAGTTAATTGAATTTTAGTCAAATCGCAATGGAAGGATTAGGTCTCATAGTTGTAGATTGAGATGGGAATTTTTAAGAAAAAAAATCAAAACGAAGCCTTAAATCATTAATTTAAGGCTTAAATAAATTTGAGAAAAAGTGGATTTATGTTCGATAAATGTTACATTGAGTAACCTTTTTTTTCGAATTTATTCAACATCAAGAAAGTTGTTAATTCTTCAGTTACAGGAGAAAATGAAAATAATTATTGTTATAAATTGAGTTTGTTTGTTCTTTCTGATTTTTAGGTGTAGTCTTGCTAGCAATATTGTCCAAATGGATGATGAGATCACAGAAAATAGTAAACATGTGAAAGATGTTTTTTCTCCAGTATTTTTAGCATTGCTTGATTCTCTTCTGAGTCGTTCTCAGGTATTTCCTTTTTAATTTTGTAATGACAATATGACATGTTCAGATGCATGCTAAATATTTTAGTTTGAGTTATGCATTTCTTCATTAATTAATAACATGAAAGTAGAGATCAAATGTGGTATGTGGATGACTCAACATATGGTGATACTGCAACAAGGGAGTTGCCAAATGGCCTTGCTCGGTTTAGATTAAATTTAGTTGAGCTTTTGGTGGACATTTGCCAGCTTTTGAAGTCTGTTGTGTTTTTGCAAAAGGTTCTTGTCTTAATGACTTAATCTCCCAATAATTATGAATTATTTCATCTTTATAATGATTAGTAATATAAAATTGGGAATCAGATTTTTTTGGTGGTTGGTTGTCTTCAAACGTACAAATTCCATGGAAGGAGGTGGAAACCAGAATGTATGCTCTTAATGTGGTCAGTTTCTTCGACCATATTATTGTAAATCATCTTACAAAATTTCATTATAATATTAATATTAATTTTCTGTTCCAGGTTGCTGATGTAGTACTACAAGAAGGTCAAACATTTGATCTCTCCATGGTTTTGCACTTGGTGACAATTTTATGTGACAAGGAATCATATGAACCAAAAGGCTTTATGTGCATTGTATGTCATTTGATAGTGATTTTTTGTTCATAATGCAGAATTCCAGTATTATAAATCTATCTTTTCATGTGGTTTCTTGTGTACATTTTAGGTACATAGATCACTTGTAGATGTTATTGGTTCCTATTCAAAGTGGATGTCTTCTTATGTAACTAATGACAGACCATTACTGTAAGGATTCTCTTCTTTAAAGTTTCATAAAATAGAGTTCAAATCACAAAAATAACCAAAATATAGCGGCTTTCATTTACTTACCCTTAATATATCTACCTCTGATCTTCTATTTTTAGTTTATTTTTTGCAGCTGGTATGTCAGAACCTTTATGTTCGCATGCTTGTGCAACTGCCTTTAGAAAGTTATGTGAAGATGCTACTGCAGTTATGCACAGACCTTCAAGTTTAGAAATGTTAATGTGGATTGGAGAGGTTAGTTAGCTTATTTGTTATGGCTATATTCAATGACGAGGGTGTTTACAATACGTCTTTTACCTTATTTCAGGGATTGGAAAAGAGACACCTACCTTTAGAAGATGAGGAAGATGTTATTGGTGCTGTTACTTTGATACTTGCTCACCTTCCTAACACGGAATTAAGGAACAGTTTGTTGCTTAAGTTGCCTTCTCCTAGCTTCGAATCTATTGGAAAACTTGTAAGAATTTTATCTTTACTAAAAAAGAATTAAAAACTTGTCTGAATCCATGACTTAATTTCGTTCAGATTGATGGAGATCATGTCCTCACTTTGAGGCAACTACCAGCTGCTTATACTCATCTTGTCAACTCTGCAGTGAGGGGGTTTTACAGGTTTTTCTCTTGAAATGGTTTTATCATGTTACCTTTTTTTTGTGTAAATGAATTTTTTATTAATTATTAGTAGAATTAAATAATGTGTAGAGTAGAACTAAAACTATACATTGTATTTGCATATAATTGAAAAGATTGATTCCATTCCTATAGACCAAGTGATAAACCAAACATAAATGATTATAAAAAAATTCATATGATTTTTCCTTCAGATTCATCAACTTAGAGTGGTTATGTTTGGAGATTGATTGAATCATGTTCAGGCAGTTACCATTCAAAGTGAAATCAGAGGTTAGCTACAACCTATGTTGCACTTAAGCAAGAACTTGAAGCTGCACAACATGATCTTCAAAAAACAGACGGTTTTGCTCACAACTTCCTCATGGAGAAAGATATGCAGATGAGGGAGTTGTATGAGAAGTCAGCAAAAATGGAACACGATCTTCATGGAGTAGAAGCTATGCGTGATGAGCTTATGCAATTACATGCTGATGTTAAGGAGTTGACTTCTACACGCCAAAAACTTACTATTCAAGTTCAGTGTATGACTCAAGATCTTGCTAGAGCTATTGCTGACTTGCAGCAAGTCCCAGGACTGAAGTCAGAAATTCATGGGATTAGACAAGAATTGCAACATGCAAGGTGACTTCATCATTCATGTCCCTATAAACATGTTACATTGCATATAGATGATGCAATCAAATGATATTTCCTTCTTGAAGGGCTGCAATTGAACATGAGAAGAAGGGGCATGCACAGAACTATGAACATGGTCAAGTGATGGAGAAGAGTTTACTCTCTATGGCTCGTGAGATGGAAAAGCTGCGTACTGAGATGGCTAATGCTGAAAAACGGGCGCGTGCTGCTGCAGCTGTAGCTGCAACCAATCAAAATCCAGGTAGGCCATTACTTGTGTTTCAGTGTTGTTGATGGTTCTTTTAGGAAGTTATCAGTGCTTGACTTCTTGGGTGCTCTTCATATACAAGATATAACCTAAATTATGTTAATGCTGAAGCTAACTATTCAGGGAATCCTTACCCTGCAACTTATGGCATTAGTTCCATGAATCAAATGAATCCTGTAAGTTATCTCATTTTCTTAGTTTCTTTCTAGGGGGGTATTTCTTTTTGGGTCTCAATTTTTTTTATTACTGTGACAATCAGGTGCAGCCTGTTGCAGAAGGTTACCCTCAATATGGGCCTGGGCCTGGATCTTGGGGATCATATGATATGCAAAGGGCTCAAGGACACAAATAGAGTGATAGACTATCTCATGCTAAGATGTGGACTCTTATGGTACTTTGAATTGAAGTGTACGTTTGTTTAAAATGTTATCTTATATAAGACCTTTATTAAATTATTATGCATGCTATTTTGGATATTGTTGTCCTACAGCAAATGCTAGCAGTTAAAGACTAAGAAGACTGAGGTGAACAAAGAAGAAGGAAAACATAGTGATGGTGGTGAAGAAATCAAAGAAAAAGTGAATGAAAAGGCAAAAAGTGAAGTGGGACCCAGTGTGGATCTTTCATCACAGAAAGTGTCAAAGGAGGAAACTATACAACATATGAACACAAGTCAAGATTCGAATTTGATGCCTTTTGTTGACCTCAAGAATGCAATATCAGTGAAAAGAAACTCAAAAGATTCAAAGAATTCAAATGGGGAAGATGAGAACCAAAATGAACAGGAATCAAATGAGAATGAGAATGAGAATAATGAAGTGTCTGAAGTGAAAAATGAAAACACAGCTGCAGAGTAGAGTGGAATAAGAAGCTCTTACATGAAACATCCCAAAAATACAGTCTGAAAATTTCGTTTTAAATCAGTAATAAAACCATATTCATCAACGTCATATAAGAATCATAAACAATGTATCTCAAAATATCATAACAACTGTCAAATATATCAGAGTATAAACATCCCAGGCTGAACAAATGGTGTGTGCACTGCAATCTTCCCGAGCTCCTCTTTTAAATACTGAGTACCTGAAACCAAAACTGAAAACCATAAGCACGAAGCTTAGTGAGCTCCCCCAAACTATCACATACCATACAATAACATATAAAACAACTACTGGGCCTTGCCCACTGCATCAGACCAAAGTCCGGAAACTGCATCGGACCGAAGTCCGGAACTAACCAGGGCCTTGCCCTCTGCATCAGACCGAAGTCCGGAACTAACCAGGGCCTTTCCCTCTGCATCGGACCGAAGTCCAGAACTGACTGAACATAGCATAGCATAATCACAACTACTAGCATAAACACATATATTGCATACGGCATCGGACCGTCTGGAACACATAACACAAGGACATGCTTGAATCACAAAGACATCAAGCACACTAAACTACTGCATCAGACCGAAGTCCGGAACTACTGCTAACTAAACGGGACGACATTGTGGCCGTAGACCCGTTCCTACTGGAAGGAAACTCACCTCACACTGCTGAAGTCCCGTAGACACAATCTCATACTGCTGAAGTCCCGCAGACTCAACCTTAGCTGCTGGATAACAGATTCCCGAACTGTCAACACCAAAATAACACCCAATTAATAATTGGGTTCTAACACATAACTATAAATACATACTTTGGGTAATTACTACATTACCCCTAGCTTGGCTTACCCAAGCCCAAGGCCCAATCCATAGGCCCAAAGTCAACTAGGGATCAAAGCCCAACATATGGCCCAACTTTCCAAATTGGGCCCAAATCTCTACATGGACTTCCCTTAAGGCCCAATTGTTCAGTCCAGTCCAACATGTCTTATTCTAAGGGCCCAATATCATACAACCATCTAGGCCCAAACTATGGAAAATTGGGCCCACACCCTCCTATGGGCCTTACCTTAAAGCCCATTAAATTATTCTAGTCCATTTGCTTGTTCTTGGATGGCCCAACACAAAGCCCAAGTGAAATTAGGGTTTCACATAAAATGATAACTAGGGTTAAGTGTTTATTACTTAACGCATTAAGGACTTAATCCATTAAGTCCTTTACTCTACTAGATAAGTGATATGGAGTGATTTTGGGCTTAATACACAATCCAATCCCAATGGCCCAAAGATGGGTCCAATAAGTCTAAGGCCCATTACTCATAATTAGGGTTTTCCACCCAAACATGGCCCAATAGGCCCAAAACCAATCTCTAAGCCCATTAGGGTTTGCTAGTGGGGCACCACCTACTACCACCTCGGGTAGTGGTGGTCAATGGCGGCTTGCGGCGGCGACCACCACCTTACGGTGGTGGTTATTATTATTTTTATTATTAACCAAAGCTAATTACAAGTACAATGTTTAATCCAAACATAAACACACACACTAACACACACTAACTAACACACACACACAACCACACCATGGTGGCCGGCGGCGATGCTTGGCGGCAGCAGCCACCACCTCACGGTGGTGGTGGCGGATCTCTGATTTTCTGACCATACGTTGTGCAAACAGCTTCACAAACACACCCAATCGGAAGATTTATTCGCATAGCCACCACCTCACGGTGGCTTGTGGTGGCAGGAACTGTTTCAGGGCAATAACCACCATGGTCAGCTGCCATGGTGGGTTTTTCTCTCTATCTCCGGCTAAACTATCCCTCACACGTCACAAACATAATCACAGCCCACCTGGTGGCGTGCAAAGACGAAGGCAGTAAGGTTTTTGGCGATGACAACCACGACGGTCGGGAGATACGGCGGCGGCATGAGATGCCGATGGTTGTAGTGGCTGGAGCAGCGACCTGAGTAGTCAAACCGAGCCAAACAGCGGTGGTGGTCGTGACTGAGAAGAAACCACCGCGAAACGAGGCAGCGCCGGCAACGATGAAACAGTAGAATAGAAGCGGCAGGACAGTAGCGCTACAGCGGAGTGGCGGCAGCAGCTTCGTTCGTCTAACTCCTCACAGCCCCGCACAAGCCACTCACAGCTCCAAAAAATCCGGTCTCGGTGGTTCCTCGGCTGTACAGCGCCTCTTCAGCAGCATGGCGTGTCGGCGCTCGTCGGCGGGGCAGTAGGCGGCCTCCCTGCCCGATCGGAATAGTGAGATGAGGAGTAGAGGCGGCTGGAACAAAATTTTTAGGTTTAGGGTTAAAGGATGCGATGTGGGGAAGGGATACGGGTATATCCCGTATCTTATTTCAAACTTATGATCGAATTATTCAACTTCAGCCCCTCCATCCTAATTTGTTTTCAAACTAAATCCAAAACATACCAAATAGACCCTGCCCTCAGAAATCTTTACAAACTGAATCCAAAACTTACCATTTAAACCCTGATCCCATAAATTTCTTTCATAATAGATCCCTAAATCACCAATAAACCCTTAAGCCTTCAAATCTTTTCAATTTAAGTCCCGAACGTACACTTTTAACCCTCGACTTTCAAAATTCTTCACAACTTAGTCCGGGACTTACATTTATTAATTTTTTTTAAATGAACGGGGCGTTACATTACAGCTGCAGAAGAAGCTCTTATAGACTTAGGAACATTACCAGAGAATGGAATAAGAGGAAGCAGAAGCACTGAAAACACAGCTGCAGAGTAGAGTGAGTTTTTTACCTTTATTTTTTTATTTTTTTAAAACTAAGTATTTTCAATTTTCTATTCTTTAAGTTCTTATAGAAAACATCATTCAATTTCAGACTTCAATGCACCTGGTGTCCCTATTGCTGATTTGGAGTTTCTTGACCTTTGCATTGCTGAACAAGAGGTAATTAAGCTAGCTTTGGCCAATTAATTTAATTTAAACACTTTGCATTACCTGTAAATTTAAAAGGAAGATGGCACAGGCAAGGAGTATCCTTTGGAAGCTGCCGTTGAGGCCACCAAAAATACTTTGATTCAAGGCAAATAGAATTGGTAATTGTATTTGTTTGTATATTGTAAACGTCACGATTACAAGCAATATATGTATACACACATTGTTACACTTTAAACCCTATAGAATATAAATATATATATTATTGTCTAATATCCCCCCTCAAGCTAAGGCCGAGTAGCGACCTGTAGCTTGTCACGTAAGAAAAGAAATCGATTTGAGGGCAGGGGTTTTGTAAACACATCTGCAATCTGGTCGTCTGTGGAGATATATTGAACCGTTAGCTGTCGTCGTGCAACCTTCTCTCGAACAAAGTGAAAGTCAACATCAACATGTTTTGTACGTGCATGGAAGACACGGTTTGTGTCACACCCCAAACCAAGGATGGCGGAAACGTCTGGGGGTGGAGGACTTCATGTAAAGTATCACAACAACGAGTATAATAGTGCTCAAAGTAAATACAACCATCATAAATATAATTGAAAAGGTTACACCATAGTATATGATTACATGTTTCAAAATCAATTACATTATGATGACAAAATAAACTGTTTGACGCTTTAACGTCCCATCCTCAAAGTGCTGATGTTTTCCTGTTTCATTGATTTCCTGAGAATACAAGTAGTTTTGAAAAGTGTCAACAATTAAGTTGGTGAGTTCATAAGAGTTTTGTTGGAGAAAGAAACTGTTTTCCTTGTAAAAGCGACAAAGTATGTTTCCAGAAAATCCAATATTTTCTTTATAAAAGTTATGTAGTCCTAAATCCCAGGACCGAAAATGTGTGTGTGTGTGTGTTTTGTACTTAATATGTTCATACTAGTAAGGTGTTTCCAAAGAAAATCCGATATTTTCCTTAAAGAGTGAATCGTAAGTTTCTATATTAATAAAATAGTGCATGCTAGAATTTCCTATAGTTTCCTTCTATAATCTCTAAGTGTATATAAGTTGTATAAAATTTAAGTTAAATAAACCGTTGAATATAATGGGTCTGCCCTAGGTCCACAACCAAACAAGGAACAGGAGATGAGGCGGGCCCACCAATTCTAAGTCGATCATGACTAATTCTATATAACTCTAGCATATACACTTAATAATTATGGCTGAAAACTAACAATGCTAGATAGAATGTAGTCTTAAAACCAAAGACCGAGACTATGCTTATCATAATTCATCAAGTAGTGGTAGTGGACATAAACTATACATATCATAATTCACCAAATAGTGGTAGTGATAGTGCTCATGAATTATGCATATTATAGTTTATCAAATTGTGGTAGTGGGAGTGAACATAAACTATACATATCATAATTCACCGAATAGTGGTAGCGACAGTGAACATGAATTATGCATAGTATAGTTTATCAAATAGTGGTAGTGATAGTGAACATAAACTATACCTATTATAGTTTATCATATTGTTTGTAATGTAATGCAACC